GTCTTCTGTGGCCCCCGGGCTTGCGTGGGTGGCTTGCTCTGCTAGGTGCCCTCTGTCCAGCGTGGCACCAGATCTCAGGCACTTCCAGCATGGCATGTGTGGCTCTGCTTCCGTGTTGGTGTCCCCAGTGACAGCACATTGAATAGTGTGGGCTCGTCGTCTGCCCAGTCTGTGCAGACACTGTGAAATTAACTTCCTCAGCCTCCAGCCCATGTGGGGCTACATTGATGTCTCTGCTGGGCTGCCGGCTGGGCACTCCTTGGCAGGGGTGGGGGATACCTCAGCATCCGAGCAGCTAGGGGCCGGGTGCCTCGTGCTGCAGAGGCTGTCAGGCGGGCCACGGATGAGATTCCAGGTGCCATTGTCCTCCAGCAGAAAGTCATGCAAATTGCAGGAAAAAAATCGCCGACACCGTGCTGTCCCATCTCCTGGTTCCGAGTCACTGAGGGGTCACTCCAGAGGCCAAGGAGCCACATGAGGGCAGGGCTTGCGGATTTGCAAGCTTCTGATGGGGCTGGTGAACTTGAGAACCTCTTGCAGTGGGAGGGAGGTGGTGCTGGGAATGGCCTTGTGGACACGCATTTGCTGCCCAGATGGGGAGCCTGGGGCAGCTGGCAGGTGTAGGGATGCGAGGGTGGCCCCGTTGTGCTCACGTTTCTTGTCCTAGACTGCCCTCCCCATGGGTTTTCTGTCGACCTGAGAGACCATCCCTGCTGGCATTACCTGTCCACGCAAGGCACGGCCGAGGTCCCGGCAACCCCTACTCAGCTTCGGGCTGGAAGGTCGGACATTGCTGTACAGTGACAGGCCGGACCCCAGTGGCTGGGGCATCGACCAGGCCAGGGAAGCTGCTGCCTGCCACCCATGTCCCGCCCAGAACACCTGCCCGTCCAGCCTCCCTGGCATCCATCACTCCGTCTGCCCAGGACAGGTGGGCCCAGAACCTGCTTCTGCAGTGCACAGTCAAGGGGCCAGACTTGGAGCTGCCACAGGCCAGAGGCCACTATGGGGTGGCATCGGGAGGGCCACGTTGCATGGCCTGAAGCCTGTTGTTCACTGTCATGGTGACTAATGGCCCCTGTGCAGGTCCTGGCTCCCCAAGACGTCTGTGTTCCTTTCCTGACACACTCATTTAATTTTTAACTCACAAGGCATTTGCTTATTTATTTTCATTGTTCTTGATAATAATTCTAAGCCATTAGAGGGGAAAATTATATTCAAAAATGCTGTTTCACACTTTATTTGTTTGATGATTTAGAGCGATAGAAAATAGCACATTTGCTGGCTTTTATAGTCTGGTAATTATTCACATCCATCAAGCCATTCCAGGGGGATAAACAAAACACCAAGAAAATTACACTATTAATAGCATCCTCTGCGCGGACAGGAAGGCTCTTTCCCAGCTGGCGTTGCGGCAAGAGGACAGTGGCCGTGGGCTGGCCAGGGCGAGAGGACAGTGGCAGTGCCCGTGGGAGTGCCATTCCTTCAGTCCTGGCTCAGGCTCCGGCCTCGAGCTGCACGGCTGAGGCCTCTGTCCTGCTGAGGATGCACGGGGCTTTCTTTAGGGCCCACAGGCCCCCGTCGAGAAGGCCCCAGATGTCAGGGCCTTGCTCTCTGGGCAGCTTCATCACAACCTGGTCTTAGGCCTGGTCTCAGCACAGCCAGGCCAGCTTGGTGGGATGTCCTCAGCCTCCGGCCTCGGCGCCGAAGCAAGAATATGGGGCCTGGGTACCTCTCTGGGGCCCAACCTTCCTGTGCTCCCTACCTCCATGTGGCCTGTTGCTGTTGTCTGGACCGGGGCCAGACTCTCAGCGTATCAGGCTGGAGGGCCCAGCCTCTGTGGCTCCCTGGGCAGCCTGGGCCCCTCACGCCTCATGGGCTGGCTTGTGCATTCTTCGCTTTGCCTTTCTGGGGTGGCAGAACGTGGAGCTACTCAAATACCTCAAGGCATGCAATAGTTACCTGGGGAGGCAGAGGGGGCGGGAGGCCAGCCTCTCATGCCCGCCGGCCTCTGCCCACGCCAGGCATTTTTCCCTCTTGACCATGTCCCCGTCAGCATGTCACCGCTGCATCTCACTTCTTTCCTGCAGGCTTTGGGGCCGGTAGTAGTGTGTTAGCCATCGCGTTACTGCGTGGGCCTTCTGTCCCACTCAAGGGGGCCGTGTCCCACCCCTGCACGCCTCAGACCTCGCCTAAAGCATTTGATCTTCTCACCGAGCCCCTCTGCTCTCTCCAGTCCCCGCCCGAACACACAAGGGCTCGGCCTGCTAGAAGAGTCTTGGCACGCCAAGCTGTCCCCATGCCCTGTGTTTCTAGTTCTGTCCTCAGAAGCCCCAGCCCGCTCTCCCTGGCATGTACCTCGCAGGTCCCAGCAGCTGCACTTCCTGGCTCTGGGCTCCCCTGTTCCGTGTGTGCTGGGCTGCAGACTCTGTACCCTGCCTCTGGCTTTGCGTGAGCTGACCATGGAAGAGGGCCGGCCAGACGCAGCCCCAGGCCTCAGAGGATACCAGGAGGGAGGAGGACGTGGCCGATGTGGTCTCGGAAGGTTCTGGCCTCCAGGGCTCTAGAGGGCACAACATGGCCGGCCCTGGAGGGATGGAGAGCTGGAGCACAGGGAGGCTGGCGTGGGGGCTTCTGGGTAGGGCTGGCGCTGGACACTGAGCCAGCAATATCCCCAAGCTGGACAGAGGATAGTGGTGGGAGAGGGCTGTGGCCTGGAGGGCCATCTGTCCTCTGGCCAGTCTTGAGACAAGCATCGGAGGAGGTGTGAGGACACACGAGCCGTCGCCACCAGGTGGGGGCTGCCACGTCCAAAAGGTGGCCTCCCGGGGCCACAGACGGTAGAGCGGAGCATGAAACTTGACCTTGTGATAGACCGACTCCCAGGGAGCCAAACTGCCTCCCCGCTTAGAGACCAATAAAGGCGGTTTGGTTTTACAGCCCTGAGAACGCTCTAATAGCCAGACAGATGCTCCTGGCTCAGAGCACGGGGAACACACATCTTCAACCCAAATCACTGCCTCTTCTTTTTTTTCCTCCAGAGCCATGGCCGAGTGTCAGAGGTGCCCAGTGTGGGCTGGGGGGGCTGTGGCAGGTGACATGTGCTATTCACTCTGGGGTCCTGGGTGGGGACCCTGCTGAGCTTGTGCTCTGGGGGTCCCAAGGGGTGGCTGAGATGTCTCCCGTGGTGACTATGGGTTCTGCTGTGTGCCTGTACCCGTGCTGCCAGTGCCGGCGTGTCCCCGTCCTCTGCACTGGGTGTCCCAGGGTACCCAGAGGGCTGGGCGTGGAATAGGGCTCAAGGTCCTGTTCCGGAGTTGCTGCCCACCACAGAGCTGGGCAGCCTGTCAACGGCCCTGCGTGGATGGGCCTTGGCCACCCTCCAGCCCCCACATAGCCCTGTTTCCTCAAGGCCCTGAGCCCTGTTCTGGCACCTTCTCTTGGAGATGGAGGTTCTCCTCCAACCCGAGTCCTCCAGGGTCGGCTGGGGGCAGGTCTGCGGGCGTCAGGGCTGTCGCTGGGTACTCCAGGCGGTGGGAGGCACGCCAGCTTTTGGTGGGGGCAGCGGCAGAGTCCAGAAGGCTCTGTGGCCCTCTGTCTCCTGGCCCAGCCTTCATGGTCTCTCCGGGGCCTGCTTCTCCGAGCGTGGCCGGCCTCCCGCAGTCTGTGTTTCCCGATAACACGGCAGCCACGCTCCGATGTATTAAACTTTTAACATCCACCAGATTCAATTAATCTTATCTTTACAACTCCCAATTACAGGCGGTAATTAAGTGAAGGCAGCATTGTGGGCTGGGGATGTTGCATTAATCATCACAGCCTTGGAGCCAGAAATTGGTTCCTTCCGTTCGGCAGCGCCTTCCCAAAAGGAGCGGGACTTCCTGCTTCCCTGCGGGGCCAGTAATCCCACCAAGGTGCTTGGGATTGGGGTGAACTGTTGGGGTCTTTGTGTAAGTGATAAAAGGCCATTCAAGCAAGAGCAGCCTCGGCTCTGGACAGCAGAAAGCACCTGAGAAGCAGCGTGGAAGGTGCCGGGCAGACCTGGGAGCCGAGGGAGCTCGTCGCTTAGGCCCTGTTCCATCAGAGGCTGCATGTGACCGCTTCACCGCCCGCCCACCTTTGCTTCATCAGGGACCAGCCACCTCCCGAGGGGCGTGGGCCCCCGGCCACCTCGGGGTTCACGCTCTCCCTCTTCCTTCCCTGGCTAGGGAAGGTGGCAAGAGCGGCCGCGCTCCAGGTGCTCCCGTGTGCTCGGCCCATCCTGGCTGGGAGGGCTTGGCACGATTGCCGGGCAAGCCACGGACAGGGCTCGGAAGCCAGGCCCCTGTCGGGGACTTCTGCTTGGAAAGGGAGGTTCCCCTTGCCCAGGACCTCCTGGCCAGCTGGGTGACCCAGGCTTCTCACCCCTCCGCGCCGTGGCTCCTGGTGCCTGCCATTCCCCGGGAAGGGTCCCGCACGGTGTGTCACGGTGTCGGCGCAGCCTTCGTGGGACGTCTGTTTGCAAACTCCCCCTCACATCTTCCTTGTGATGACGAGTCTGGTGATCTCTCAGATGTAAAGCGTGTAAGATGAAACTTCCCAAGCGAGTGACACACGCGCTGTCTCGTTCCTGGAACTGCCTTTCCCTGCTGGCTCCAGCGTGAGGAGACGGATGGCGCGGCTGGAGACGGCTGGCAGCCCACAGTGGAGCCCGCCTGTTCTCGACAGCTCCAGGCTGCGCTTTCGCGCGTTTTTTGCCTTTTAGCTTCCTCGATGGTTGGTGTCACTTCACAGGGAGGGTTTCTGCTCCGATGTTCTGAGCGCATCACAGGCCACGAGCCTTCTCCTCGTCCCACCCCCACCCTGCCTGCTTCCCTGCAGAATTCTGTCCGGCAACCACTCCCGCTGCCGCCCCGTCCTCACGGTGCTGGCCACGCCATGTGTCATGTGTGTCCCGTGCGCCATCCGCATCTCTGCCACACAGGGTGGCCTTCCTCTCACGTGCCTCCCTTCTCTCGTAGGTACGCCATCCCTCCGGAGCACGGCAAGCGCCTGGAGCGGCTGGCCATCGGTAGGTGACTTGCCTGC